ATCTGTCATTAGTCAAGCACCATGTGCTCAATGGCACATGAAGGGGATGGTGGCTGTCTTTTCTTTATCCTCACCCCTCTGCATTCAGAAGCATTGCCAGTTTTCAAAAACTAGTATATCATGGCTAGCAAGGCTAGTCCTACCATTAGGATAGGCACACTTTTACTCTGTCAGGTCATAGGTAAATGCATCTACAGTTCACATGAACAGACAATGAAGAAACCAGGACATCATCCTGTGCCTACAGGCAGCAAGGCTATCATAGAGAGAAATGGTTGCTGGAGAGTCAAATCAGTACAGGTCATATCCTGGGTGTCAGCAGAATCAGAAGTGTGGTCCAGGGGATCTGAGGTCCAAAGTCAAGAGGGAAGTCATCAGAAAGAGTAATTCAAGCTACGCACTGAAGTTCAAAGAACCAGAAAGTCAGACACATCAGACAATGTCACAAAGGGATTGTTGGAGCCGACTGCAGCAATGAAATGGCCTTAGCTGAGCTAATTTATCACCCGGTGTAAATCAGCCCAGATGGCCTAATCAACTTAACATTTCCCTTTTAAAATGGTTCAGGACATTTCCTGTTCCTTTGCAGCTGATGTTTTAGTCTACCACTGGTGTTTCAATCTGCAATTGACATTTTAATTCATGCTCTACGATATGAAGAGTTTCTTTGTCCTGATGATCTGCAGGAGCTGCATGGGATGATCTGGGCTCTGTGTCCACCAGTAGCATAATAGGACTGCATGGCAGGGGGTTGGACTGGGTGGCCCTTGTGGTTTCTTCCAGCTCTATGCTTCTATGATTTTATGACTTCCAGCCTCCTCTAGCTGCAGCTGGAGTCTGTTATCTTGGCCCTCTCCTTCCTGTTCCTCAACTGAGGAGACCTCCTGCAGATAGGGCATGGGAGGCTACTTCCTCTCATGTATTCCATGCACCTATTTCATTTTGAAATAGTTGCCAGCCCAGGAACATAGAAATGGTTATGTTATGGCTGATGCTTTTGTGTCAATAGGAAGATTAATCCATGCCAGGTTATAGCTTGAAATTTAAAGGAGCTTTCCAATAAGTTCAGCACCTTGGATAGCTCTTTTAAACCTCCCGAGAAAATTCACTAGTCTTCTGGCATTGGCTGGATTCCTACTGATGTCTTACACTAAATGCCACTATGGGAGCAGATACAATTTTTTGTCCAGGTTGAAACATCCTCATTCCCTTCAAAGTGCTGGAAATGGAGTTGTGCATCCAGTGCCACTGTCCATGCAGGAACACATTAGGTATTGATGTGTATTACTTCTTGTATATTGATCTGCATGCACTTTTGGTTGTGCATTCAGGTGCACATTTCATGGCTTGCTTCAGTTGTGGTAATATTGCCATTCAACACAAGTGTTGTGTAGCACAACTAATGTGTAACTCCATTATGTGGAGATTTAGCAGCCTCTATCCTGATCTCGGATCATGGTCAAGTCTCTGAACTCCCATTTTCAGGAATCAAAATTTCTTTGGCTAGCCCTGTCCATCCCCAAGTGTCAACTGTCAGTCCAGTTCAGTTCTATATGTTGAATTGTATTTCTCTTTTTCCTCAAGCAACAAAATGTCTCAGGCCAACCCTGATGCCTAACAACCATTGATAGGTGTCTCCTTCAAAAATGTTGTAAACTAACAAAGCAAACAAACATTTATGCTAGAGGCCATCTTGTAGTATATTGAAACTCAGCAGTATATAACGATGGAGAAGTTGTCTTTTTCTCTCTGACCCCAAACTGCTGTCCATCCATTTCATTTGCTGACTCCTAATATTTAGGAAAGAATATGAGAAAAGGAAAATACCTTCCTTGCCATCACCTAGAGGCAGTGGCAGATGTAGGCTCCCATTCCAGTGAGGCAGTAAATCCACACCTGACTAGATAGCTTTAAAGGAACTATCCATGGTTCTGAATCTAGCTGGAGGATAGAGTGCGACACTTTGGATAGCTAGCCAAAGTCCGGGGTGAATTCACTGCCCTGCTGACAATGGGAATCAAGAGTCATCACCGCTTAGAAGTATGGCAGAGTTCCCACTCCCACTGAAGAATGGACTACATTATGCATAAAGAAATCAATCTTTTTGTCAGCTTTGCAGACAGGCTGTTCCAAGAAAAGAAGAGATTAATCTTTCCCTATTTTAGTATATTCTCCAGTTTCTAATTGCAGTGTAATGAGGTTACAGCAAAGGGAATGGGAAGTACTTGATAGGTGGGTTGGTGGATGAGGTGAGTGGGGGGGCACTTCTAAAAACTGGGAAAGGAGCAGATGAATTAAACGATGACTGCAGAGCACATGAAATGCTTCTGCATTACATAGTCATGTCAGATTGACACCAGTTTAACTGTTATGGCTCCATTGGGCCAACTCCTGGGATTTGTAGTTTCATGGGGAACTTAGAATTCTCTCTTGAGAACTCTAGGGCTGTAGTTCAGAAGAGGGGACTTTGCCATATCCACACTGCACAGTTACAGCAGTTCAACAGCACTTTAATTGTCCTGGCTCTATTATTAGGAATCCTAGGATCTGTAGCTTGCTAAAGTACTTAGAATCCTCTGGAGAGCTGTACTGTAATTCAGGGAAGGTTCTTTAGGAGAGAATTCTAAGTACATTAACAAGAACTGAAATAATAAATGCTCCCCAACAGACTGATTTAAGTCTTCTCTACAATACAATACCTCTTTCCTGCTGCCAACATGACTTATCATGACTCTGGCATTATAGATAAGCCACAGCTATGGAACAAAAATGGGTCTCCTTAATTTGTTTGATTTCTATTGCTAAGACAAAGGGTCACATTCACTTTGTACAAATGTGTTAGAAAGAAAGTGGGATTTATGAGAGGATGAATAACTGCTAGTCAAGGCAGACATGAAAAAGTCTCAAAGTTTAATAGAACTGTGTATGCAAAGATGGTTCCGCTAGAAGAATTGAAGGCAGACTATGCGATCTGGCCCATAAGGTGATCCTTTGAACCAGGACCTCTGAGAGCGATGATGATATAAGTACCTCCCCAATCTAGTACACACCTCATTTCCTCTATTGAAATTACTAGTTTCTTCCATTGATTTGCAGAGATACGGGCCTGAATCTTTTGGTTAGCCTTATAGTTGGGGGATCAGTGGGATTTACCAACAGGATGACTTGGCTTTTAGCAATTGATTCAGTGAATTTATCCTACTCTGATAGCATTCATAGCAACATGCAGGGCCAGACCCAAATGTTTTGCTCACTGCCGGAGGCAAAGGACATGTTCCCACCATTCCATATACAAAACACAAGTGTGCAAATGTTACTTTTCAATCAGCAACTCCCCAAATCCAGCGCGGGTCCCTGGAATTTCCTAGCATCTCAACCCCCATTGAGTCTTTCCATATAGACTGTTCATTTTAGCTGGAAGTTTTACAGCCTTTGAGGAGGTCACACTATACTGAGCATCAGATGAACTTTAATTTCATCCAGAACAAAATCCATAGTATGTCACAGCGTATCTGAGCCTCCAAGCTATAGCCTTGGGAGCAAAGGCAATCATTCCATGCCCCTATCTTTGGCTGCTAAAAATAGTCCACAAAATACAGTTTAGCTCTCAAGCTTCCAGGCTGTAAATTGTGGCAGGGAAAAGAAATGTTTTGTGGTGTTTTCAGTTTGTAGATTACTTTACAGACTTGGTTGTCTTTCTAAACAATCACACAATGAAGCTAGTAGGACTTTTCTAATTGCTTCTATGGACTTTGGGTTGTTGTTTGTTTTGAAAGGGAAGGTTTGGTTGGGAAAAGAGCGATAGGGTGAGATCTTGCATTGTTGTTATAGCTACAGTGACAATGAACTAGAATCCTAGAGATGGAAGAGACCCCAAGGGGGCATCCAGTCAAATCCCATTCTGTCATGCAGGAAGACACAATGAAAGCCACTCTGACAGATGGCCATCCAGCCTCTGCTTAAAAACCTCCAAAGAAGACTCCAAAACTTTCCAAGGCAGCGTCTTCCACCATCAAACAGCTCTTACCATCAGGATGTTCTTCCTAATGTTGAGGTGGGATCTCTTTTCCTGTAGTTTGAGCCCATTGCTCTGTGTCCAAGTCTCTGGAGCAGCAGAAAACAAGTTTCCTCCAAATTCAAGATGACAGCCTTTGAAATATTTAAACATGGCTATCATGTCACCTCTTAACTTTCTCTTCCCCAGGCTATTATTTGTCATAATAGTTAGGACTGATGATGCCTTTCTAAACCTAGCTTATCAATCCAGCAGCACCCTAACTGAAGGATTTCCAAAGTGCTAGTGCCTTCTGATCATTTTCAACTTTTGCTGACCCTAAGGTCACAGCGTTTTCTTGGCAAAATTTGTCTGTGCGTGGGGAGGTTGCCATTGCCTTCCTCCAAAATAGAAAGACTGTGACTTGCCCAAGGACACCTAGTAGGTTTCCATGGCCAAGCAAGGAATCGAACCCTGGTCTCCCAGAGTCCATTGGGATTGCACCACTAGAGCTTCTAGCAGGGCTTTGCCCCCTCTAAGCCCCCTGCAACTACAAATCCCAGGATTCCATAGCATGGTTCTATGGCAGTTGAGATCTCAGATAGCAACAATTGCTTAGTTGTTCATTCCATGTTACTCATCAGACACTGTGATGAGTAACAGGAACCAATTGCTTTTGCAAAGTAACTGCCTGACCTCTAACTTCAGACTTTAAAATGCAAGCAGTGCTTCTCAGAGGAGGCTGCGGTTCTGAAATTACTGACTCCAACCTGGAAAGGACTGCCAGAAGGCAAACCTGATTGTCACGCTTGGTCTTGATTAATGACCTGCAGGGCTATGCTGAGTTGTTCAGCACTGCCATGCAGAATTACCACTTCTGAAGGTCATCCTGACATGCTCCATCAGCCACCTTTGGCTTGGAGCAGGAATATGTTAAAGCGGAAACAATTACAGGTACTTACTCCTCATCGAAAACCCTCCAGAAGGATTGTGTTTAGGACTTGGAGCCAGTGTGGTATAGTGGTCTGAGTGTTGGATTATGACTCTAGAGACCAGGATTTGATTCCCAGCTCAGCCATGAAACCCAGTAGGTGACCTTGGGCAACTCACACTCTCTCAGACTCAGGGGAAGGCAATGGCAAACTTCCTCTGAACAAGTCTTGCCAAGAAAACTCCATGATAGGGTCACCTTAGGATCATCATAAGCTGGAAATAATTTGTGTCTTCTTGCATGGCAGAAGTGGGTTAGATTGGATGGCCTTGGGGGTCTCTTCCAACTCCATGAAGCTATGAAGTGCAGCAAGGTTTTTTATCTTCCACCTATCGGTTAAAGCATGAGTACTTATCCCATACCCTTCAATGTCACTCATATTTCCCAACACCTCCATCAAGCCAATGCTTGGCCTGGCCTGGTCTTCTTCCTTTTCCTTTTCCTTTTCCTTTTCCTCTTCCTCTTCCTCCTCTTCTTCTTTATGGCTACTGTGACTACTACTGCTACATCCATTATTCCTCCTCTTTCTTTGCCTCTGTCTCCTCGATTTATCGGTTTTGCTGCTTTTGCAAAATAAGAATGTGCACAGTCTACATCAAAACCAAAACTGACATAATAACACGGAGCAATATTTCCAGATAATTTACTAAACAATCAGAAGCCAAAACAAGATTTAAACAGTCATACAGAGAGGCTAATCAAAACAACTCACATTGATAAACATTCACGCAAAGGAATTCACTAGCAGTTCACATTAACAAAAGAGAAACATACATAAAAATAATAATGCAAACAGTACAGGGGAAAAAAAATTCCACCTAAACAGAACTGTTCAACGGTAGAACACTGTATGCTGCCACAAAAGGTGATGGAGTCTACTTCTTTGGTGGTTTTTAAACAAAGGTTGGATGGCCATCTGTCACAGGGAGGGCTTGGATTGTATCTTTCTGCATGGCCAAAGGGAGATGGATTGGATGGCCCTTGAGGTCTCTTCCAACTCTGCAGTTCTATAAATATATGATAGGATTTCCCAATATATTGGCTAACCTTTCCATCATTGATTGATTGTGTGTTACTGCATGACAGAATGGGATTGGATTGGATTGGATTGGATTGGATTGGATTGGATTGGATTGGATTGGATTGGATTGGATTGGGTGGCCCTTGGGGTCTCTTCCAACTCTTTGATTCTATGATTCTGTGATGAAAGGCTGTGTAAACTATCTCACATTATTGCAATTCCTGGTCATGGTTTTCCTTTCTCAGTTATATACATATAGAAAAGGGGTGTGTGAGCAATTTATATCTACTTGGCACTTATGGAGCAAGTTGTTCTTGTTATTTGCCATCAAACTGACCTGGATTTATGGTGAACCTATAAATGACAGACCTCCAAGAACCTCAGTCATCACCTGCCCTGGTCAGGACTTGAAAACTCAGGGCAGCAGCCAAGGTTGCCTCGATAGCAGTCATGGCTTCCTATCTGAGCTGATGCTTATGAAGACCATTATCCTCACTGAAGAAAAGATGGGGGAAAGGATGCAGTATTGGGTAGAACTTATTGACAACTTACCAAGAACTGGACATAAGCTCTTATCAGCCTTTCTGTAGATCATATAAAAGACAGCAGTCCAAAAAAAAATGCACTTTACTTTGTGCTTCTGATAAAGAACTGTTTTTGAAAGGTGTCTGATTTCATCTTTTAGCAGTAGAGAGAGGAGGCATTTCAACTAATCCAGGGCTGTAAGGCCCTGTGTTCTTAAATACAAAAATGAGGGGTCAAGTTGAAAGGTTCAAGCAATCTGAAAATGTAGTTACTTGCTAAAAGTCCACAGCATTTTCATTCTAGCTGCTCTGTACATAAAAGGGTCACTGTTATTGTGACGACACATTTGATAGCAAGAAAACCACATGCCTGAACAAATGATAAAGATTGGGTAATGGTGCCACTGTAAGAAAAATACAAATGTACAGCTATCCAGAATATTAATACATAGATTGTTTTTGATACAGGCCAGAATCCTGTTGGTGTCACACACATGTGTACATATTCGCTAATGCATGCAAGTTGTACTTTGGTGTCCATTGTACATGGACATGTTCAGTTCTGGTTGTGTAACCAGAATTCCATAAGTCCAACCATTTTTTGTGCAATTATACATTTTTGGATGGTGCTTAACTATTCGTCAGTGCCTTCCAGACACCACTTGGTTCATTGGCATGGCAGAAACAGCCACTTTTTATATCCCACTGACCAATGGAACAATGAGATGGCACATTGGGAGGCACACAGTCAGTTGCACAACATTGGCATTCAGCAGAACAGTGGTTTGGCACAACCACCACTTGAACATGAGTTCACTATAGGGTTTAAGCCATATTTGGACACTTCCATGCTTTGGCAATTCTCCTTCCCTCACTCTTGCATTTTTAAATTTGTTTTCCAATGTGAAGTTGATGTTTAGCCAAACTACACAGCAGATGCTACAAATGCTCTGTTAGAGAATGATTCTGAAA